AAAAGGAGGAAACACTAGTTTTATAGCCTCTGATGGCTACAAAGAACATTATTAAGTTTGAGCACAAGGGCATAATAAAAGTGAAGTGTTAAGTAAAAAGACTTGATGCAAGACTCACTGTGGTTTTGGGCCCTTTTGGCTACTGTGCTGCCATGAGGGATGACAGAGGAGGGCTGGTTGTGCAGAAACCTTCTGTTCTGTCCAGATTTTACTGACTGCTGGCTTTCTTGTGGCTGTTGTCCTCTTCCACAGTGCTGTTCACTGCTTGTCTGCCATCGTGCTTTGGTACAGGCTCAACTAGGGGTCTGGGGGAACTGGGGGCTGGCCAGGGCTTGGCTGAGGTCCCTGGGGAAACAGAAAGGGTAAGCAGAGTCAGTGGAGAACACTTCCAGGCAGTGCTTTGCTGTTCATTGGCAGGATTTCCTGCTTGTTTGTGCTCGTCTTTATTACCACCTATTTATCACTTGAAAAATCAGCTAGAATACGTTGCTCTGCTAACACTGCTGGCTTATGTAAGGCATCACTGGGTGTTTTACAGCCCTGAGCAGGTAAAAGTGGTGGGTAGCTTTCCAAGTGAATCATTTTTCATAAGAAATCAAAATACAGCAAGAGCAACAATTTCTGCCCTCATCCAAAGCTTTTGCCATCAGGTCTGTGACGAGGCTTTGGCTGTGTTCTGTTTCTGAATGGAGATTTATGCTTGCATCCCCTAAGTAGATCTTAATTTATTTTGTGCAGTCAAAAAGCAGTGTTCCTGCTCAGCTGTGGCAGGGACAAGGCAGGGCAGGATGGGGCTGCAGGGGCCAGCACTGAGCTGTGGATATATACACAACACCTCTGTAGCTTTGACATGGATCTGCTGCTGTTGCGGCCTCTTAGGAGCTCTGAAATTCCTCCTGCAAAGCTGGTGAAGTGGGGGACCCTGGAGCAAAGGGGAACCACACAACCCTTCCCAAATTACAAGGCAGCTCATGTGGCTCATACCCTGGATGAAAGAGATGGGTTGGAGGACAGGGCTGGTGAGGACTCCAGGGAATAACAGACAATGTTAGTATGAGATTTCTTTTTCAATGCTTTTGCAGCTGTAGTGGTCTCTAATTAGTCTCTCTGCATATAGCCTGCTTGCTGACTTGCTCATGGATTAAATTGACCTTTAGAAGAGAGAACTGAGATACCCAAGGGGCCAGATATCTCAAGAACTGGACAGTAGGTGAACATTAATCTGAGAGATATAAATTTTTTATGCTACAATTTAAAACCTCCAGTCATCTGCACAATTTACATCTTCACCTTTCTGGGCTCCAGAGTCCTGCTTGTTCCTGTCCTTCATAAAAGTTCTATGAGAATAAGGCTGGGATGATAGAGACCTTGCAGTCAATTTGTCTATGTCTGTAGATGCCCCGGATGGGCTGTAAAAGAGATATGGTGTATGGCCACCTGGTTCCCTCCCCCCATCCCCCCAAACACTGCTTCCTTTCCTGTGGAATGGGGACAGCAATGTTGTCTTTCCCTGATAAAGCCCCAGAAGACAGGCTTACATGAGAAAAGTTCAGACATCTACACCCCTACAGAGAGACACAGGCAGATGACTCCCAAGAACTCTTGAGGTAGCTTCCCACACAGCCGTCCAGCAATGTGCAGGCCCCAGCAGCGGGGAGCTGCTCCTCTCCACCCTCCCCTCCCCAGCCGAGGGGACGCTGCCTCCTCCCTCCTTCCCAGGGCCATGGGGACTCCACCCTGGGCTGCCAGGCCCCTGCCTGCTGCCTGGAAAGCCCTCCTCAGGAGACCTGTGTTGGTGAACCCAACTTCCAAACCTACTTTGCCATCCTTGGTGACGAGGCCCCTCTTCTTCAGGTTCTGCACGTTGTCTTTGCGGTTGTGGTACTCCTGCAGATGTGGGTCATGCAGGCTGTTGTGTTCTGTGAGGCTGCAGTCTTCTAGTTTAATGTGACCTCTTCAAATTCCCAAGACCATCGAAAAATAATTGAGAAGGGTCTCACAATGGCATCAGTCAGATCTTTGAGTACCTTTGGAAGAATCTCTTTGGTCCTCATCGACATATATGCATCCTGCTGGAAAAGCAAATTTCAACAAGGTTGGGGTTGGCCAGGAGTTTATTGTTAATGCAGTGACAGCCTTCAAACTCAGAGGCTCTGGTGATCCCAGAACCCATCACTGGTGCTGAATCAAAGTCGGCATTAAGTAGGCACTGCTTTGTCAGCAACCCTATTTGCAAGTAGCAATCCTCATTAAGTAATAGATCAATATTATCTCTGGTCTTCCTTTTACTGATAATATATATTAAAAAGCCCTTTATAATAAAGAGAGGTAGTACTTAAAAGAAAAGATCACTTACAGACTTCAATGCCTTGAAAACAAATTCCCAAAATGAGTTAGTAACTAGTTAACAAGTTCCATGAGTAGCCTGTAGTCTGCTTTCCCCATATTCAGGGATGAAGTTTTGGTGGCAAGGATTGTTCCTGTCACCAAAGACAGCCACTGACCACCACATAACACACGAGTCCTTCTTTTTAACAGCAACAAATCTCTAAGCATCGTTCCCAGTCAGACCCCTTATACCTGTACTAATCGGTGTGGGACTCGTGGAGAACAATGGATCCTCCTCCAGCTACAAGGATTCCTAAGGAGCTTCTTGCTTCACAGGAGCAGCAGCAATATGGAACTGATGGACACTGACAGCCCAGATGGCAAAATCAAGCCCATAGATCTGGATCTTGCTCTGGAAGAATAACTGATGGAAGTGGATCCATCTCCAATGGATGACTCCCAAGAACTCTTGAGGTAGCTTCCCACACAGCCGTCCAGCAATGTGCCCCAGCAGCGGGGAGCTGCTCCTCTCCACCCTCCCCTCCCCAGCCGTGGGGACGCTGCCTCTGCCCTCCGTCCCTGGGCCATGGCTGAAGAACCAGCTTTTCACACACACACTTCTCTCCTAGGAGTCAATGCTGGTACGGGGAAATACAGTATTTCTATTTTGTTGTTCCAAGTATGTACAACACGCAGCACTGCTGTATCAGGTAAACATGTGCACAAGGGAAGATGAGGCGTGGGCTCATAGAAAGCAGTCCAATGGAAATCAAAAGGACTTTCTCTTTCAGAGTTCCCCTATCTTTATTTGTAGAAGTTATCCAATAATTTCTTTAATTACATCGCATACTTCTGAGTCCATTCCCGAGCTATTCTGTTGTACTTTTCTCTGTTTTGTAGATCCATGCAATCTCAGGCACTAAAGGATCATCTGGATTGGGATCACACAACAGATAACAAAATGGACAAAAGTACTTTTGAAATAGTTAGTGCCGGGGACCACTGTGATCGTAGAATATCAAGACAAATGCTGCCATTACTGTTAATATTTGGATGATAGATTCTTGTTGTAAATGCAACCTTAGGTGGTTTGAAGGGATAATCTGTTGGGAAGTGAATTGTCAAGAAAAATACTCCACCTTGATAGGGACTGTCGTTTGGTCCCATTATTGTAGCTTGCCAATGTCTTGCCTGTCATCACCGACAGGCCCTGCTGAACACTGTGCTGGAGGATCACGTGCCAGATCATTCAACTCCTTGTGGATTCTCTTCAGCGCCATTGTGTGCGCGGTGCGAGGCCCCTGCCAGCTGCCAGGCCCCTGCCAGCTGCTTGGAAACCCCTCCTCAGGAGACCTGTGTTGGTGAACCCAACTTCCAAACCTACTTTGCCATCCTTGGTGACGAGGCCCCTCTTCTTCAGGTTCTGCACGTTGTCTTTGCGGTTGTGGTACTCCTGCAGATGTGGGTCATGCAGGCTGTTGTGTTCTGTGAGGCTGCAGTCTTCTAGTTTAATGTGACCTCTTCAAATTCCCAAGACCATCGAAAAATAATTGAGAAGGGTCTCACAATGGCATCAGTCAGATCTTTGAGTACCTTTGGAAGAATCTCTTTGGTCCTCATCGACATATATGCATCCTGCTGGAAAAGCAAATTTCAACAAGGTTGGGGTTGGCCAGGAGTTTATTGTTAATGCAGTGACAGCCTTCAAACTCAGAGGCTCTGGTGATCCCAGAACCCATCACTGGTGCTGAATCAAAGTCGGCATTAAGTAGGCACTGCTTTGTCAGCAACCCTATTTGCAAGTAGCAATCCTCATTAAGTAATAGATCAATATTATCTCTGGTCTTCCTTTTACTGATAATATATATTAAAAAGCCCTTTATAATAAAGAGAGGTAGTACTTAAAGAAAAGATCACTTACAGACTTCAATGCCTTGAAAACAAGTTCCCAAAATGAGTTAGTAACTAGTTAACAAGTTCCATGAGTAGCCTGTAGTCTGCTTTCCCCATATTCAGGGATGAAGTTTTGGTGGCAAGGATTGTTCCTGTCACCAAAGACAGCCACTGACCACCACATAACACACGAGTCCTTCTTTTTAACAGCAACAAATATCTAAGCATCGTTCCAGTCAGACCCCTTATACCTGTACTAATCGGTGTGGGACTCGTGGAGAACAAATGGATCCTCCTCCAGCTACAAGGATTCCTAAGGAGCTTCTTGCTTCACAGGAGCAGCAGCAATATGGAACTGATGGACACTGACAGCCCAGATGGCAAAATCAAGCCCATAGATCTGGATCTTGCTCTGGAAGAATAACTGATGGAAGTGGATCCATCTCCAATGGATGACTCCCAAGAACTCTTGAGGTAGCTTCCCACACAGCTGTCCAGCAATGTGCCCCAGCAGCGGGGAGCTGCTCCTCTCCACTCTCCCCTCCCCAGCCGTGGGGACGCTGCCTCTGCCCTCCGTCCCTGGGCCATGGCTGAAGAACCAGCTTTTCACACACACACTTCTCTCCTAGGAGTCAATGCTGGTACGGGGAAATACAGTATTTCTATTTTGTTGTTCCAAGTATGTACAACACGCAGCACTGCTGTATCAGGTAAACATGTGCACAAGGGAAGATGAGGCGTGGGCTCATAGAAAGCAGTCCAATGGAAATCAAAAGGACTTTCTCTTTCAGAGTTCCCCTATCTTTATTTGTAGAAGTTATCCAATAATTTCTTTAATTACATCGCATACTTCTGAGTCCATTCCCGAGCTATTCTGTTGTACTTTTCTCTGTTTTGTAGATCCATGCAATCTCAGGCACTAAAGGATCATCTGGATTGGGATCACACAACAGATAACAAAATGGACAAAAGTACTTTTGAAATAGTTAGTGCCGGGGACCACTGTGATCGTAGAATATCAAGACAAATGCTGCCATTACTGTTAATATTTGGATGATAGATTCTTGTTGTAAATGCAACCTTAGGTGGTTTGAAGGGATAATCTGTTGGGAAGTGAATTGTCAAGAAAAATACTCCACCTTGATAGGGACTGTCGTTTGGTCCCATTATTGTAGCTTGCCAATGTCTTGCCTGTCATCACCGACAGGCCCTGCTGAACACTGTGCTGGAGGATCACGTGCCAGATCATTCAACTCCTTGTGGATTCTCTTCAGCGCCATTGTGTGCGCGGTGCGAGGCCCCTGCCAGCTGCTTGGAAACCCCTCCTCAGGAGACCTGTGTTGGTGAACCCAACTTCCAAACCTACTTTGCCATCCTTGGTGACGAGGCCCCTCTTCTTCAGGTTCTGCACGTTGTCTTTGCGGTTGTGGTACTCCTGCAGATGTGGGTCATGCAGGCTGTTGTGTTCTGTGAGGCTGCAGTCTTCTAGTTTAATGTGACCTCTTCAAATTCCCAAGACCATCGAAAAATAATTGAGAGGGGTCTCACAATGGCATCAGTCAGATCTTTGAGTACCTTTGGAAGAATCTCTTTGGTCCTCATCGACATATATGCATCCTGCTGGAAAAGCAAATTTCAACAAGGTTGGGGTTGGCCAGGAGTTTATTGTTAATGCAGTGACAGCCTTCAAACTCAGAGGCTCTGGTGATCCCAGAACCCATCACTGGTGCTGAATCAAAGTCGGCATTAAGTAGGCACTGCTTTGTCAGCAACCCTATTTGCAAGTAGCAATCCTCATTAAGTAATAGATCAATATTATCTCTGGTCTTCCTTTTACTGATAATATATATTAAAAAGCCCTTTATAATAAAGAGAGGTAGTACTTAAAGAAAAGATCACTTACAGACTTCAATGCCTTGAAAACAAGTTCCCAAAATGAGTTAGTAACTAGTTAACAAGTTCCATGAGTAGCCTGTAGTCTGCTTTCCCCATATTCAGGGATGAAGTTTTGGTGGCAAGGATTGTTCCTGTCACCAAAGACAGCCACTGACCACCACATAACACACGAGTCCTTCTTTTTAACAGCAACAAATATCTAAGCATCGTTCCAGTCAGACCCCTTATACCTGTACTAATCGGTGTGGGACTCGTGGAGAACAAATGGATCCTCCTCCAGCTACAAGGATTCCTAAGGAGCTTCTTGCTTCACAGGAGCAGCAGCAATATGGAACTGATGGACACTGACAGCCCAGATGGCAAAATCAAGCCCATAGATCTGGATCTTGCTCTGGAAGAATAACTGATGGAAGTGGATCCATCTCCAATGGATGACTCCCAAGAACTCTTGAGGTAGCTTCCCACACAGCTGTCCAGCAATGTGCCCCAGCAGCGGGGAGCTGCTCCTCTCCACCCTCCCCTCCCCAGCCGTGGGGACGCTGCCTCTGCCCTCCGTCCCTGGGCCATGGCTGAAGAACCAGCTTTTCACACACACACTTCTCTCCTAGGAGTCAATGCTGGTACGGGGAAATACAGTATTTCTATTTTGTTGTTCCAAGTATGTACAACACGCAGCACTGCTGTATCAGGTAAACATGTGCACAAGGGAAGATGAGGCGTGGGCTCATAGAAAGCAGTCCAATGGAAATCAAAAGGACTTTCTCTTTCAGAGTTCCCCTGTCTTTATTTGTAGAAGTTATCCAATAATTTCTTTAATTACATCGCATACTTCTGAGTCCATTCCCGAGCTATTCTGTTGTACTTTTCTCTGTTTTGTAGATCCATGCAATCTCAGGCACTAAAGGATCATCTGGATTGGGATCACACAACAGATAACAAAATGGACAAAAGTACTTTTGAAATAGTTAGTGCCGGGGACCACTGTGATCGTAGAATATCAAGACAAATGCTGCCATTACTGTTAATATTTGGATGATAGATTCTTGTTGTAAATGCAACCTTAGGTGGTTTGAAGGGATAATCTGTTGGGAAGTGAATTGTCAAGAAAAATACTCCACCTTGATAGGGACTGTCGTTTGGTCCCATTATTGTAGCTTGCCAATGTCTTGCCTGTCATCACCGACAGGCCCTGCTGAACACTGTGCTGGAGGATCACGTGCCAGATCATTCAACTCCTTGTGGATTCTCTTCAGCGCCATTGTGTGCGCGGTGCGAGGCCCCTGCCAGCTGCTTGGAAACCCCTCCTCAGGAGACCTGTGTTGGTGAACCCAACTTCCAAACCTACTTTGCCATCCTTGGTGACGAGGCCCCTCTTCTTCAGGTTCTGCACGTTGTCTTTGCGGTTGTGGTACTCCTGCAGATGTGGGTCATGCAGGCTGTTGTGTTCTGTGAGGCTGCAGTCTTCTAGTTTAATGTGACCTCTTCAAATTCCCAAGACCATCGAAAAATAATTGAGAAGGGTCTCACAATGGCATCAGTCAGATCTTTGAGTACCTTTGGAAGAATCTCTTTGGTCCTCATCGACATATATGCATCCTGCTGGAAAAGCAAATTTCAACAAGGTTGGGGTTGGCCAGGAGTTTATTGTTAATGCAGTGACAGCCTTCAAACTCAGAGGCTCTGGTGATCCCAGAACCCATCACTGGTGCTGAATCAAAGTCGGCATTAAGTAGGCACTGCTTTGTCAGCAACCCTATTTGCAAGTAGCAATCCTCATTAAGTAATAGATCAATATTATCTCTGGTCTTCCTTTTACTGATAATATATATTAAAAAGCCCTTTATAATAAAGAGAGGTAGTACTTAAAAGAAAAGATCACTTACAGACTTCAATGCCTTGAAAACAAGTTCCCAAAATGAGTTAGTAACTAGTTAACAAGTTCCATGAGTAGCCTGTAGTCTGCTTTCCCCATATTCAGGGATGAAGTTTTGGTGGCAAGGATTGTTCCTGTCACCAAAGACAGCCACTGACCACCACATAACACACGAGTCCTTCTTTTTAACAGCAACAAATATCTAAGCATCGTTCCAGTCAGACCCCTTATACCTGTACTAATCGGTGTGGGACTCGTGGAGAACAAATGGATCCTCCTCCAGCTACAAGGATTCCTAAGGAGCTTCTTGCTTCACAGGAGCAGCAGCAATATGGAACTGATGGACACTGACAGCCCAGATGGCAAAATCAAGCCCATAGATCTGGATCTTGCTCTGGAAGAATAACTGATGGAAGTGGATCCATCTCCAATGGATGACTCCCAAGAACTCTTGAGGTAGCTTCCCACACAGCTGTCCAGCAATGTGCCCCAGCAGCGGGGAGCTGCTCCTCTCCACCCTCCCCTCCCCAGCCGTGGGGACGCTGCCTCTGCCCTCTGTCCCTGGGCCATGGCTGAAGAACCAGCTTTTCACACACACACTTCTCTCCTAGGAGTCAATGCTGGTACGGGGAAATACAGTATTTCTATTTTGTTGTTCCAAGTATGTGCAACACGCAGCACTGCTGTATCAGGTAAACATGTGCACAAGGGAAGATGAGGCGTGGGCTCATAGAAAGCAGTCCAATGGAAATCAAAAGGACTTTCTCTTTCAGAGTTCCCCTGTCTTTATTTGTAGAAGTTATCCAATAATTTCTTTAATTACATCGCATACTTCTGAGTCCATTCCCGAGCTATTCTGTTGTACTTTTCTCTGTTTTGTAGATCCATGCAATCTCAGGCACTAAAGGATCATCTGGATTGGGATCACACAACAGATAACAAAATGGACAAAAGTACTTTTGAAATAGTTAGTGCCGGGGACCACTGTGATCGTAGAATATCAAGACAAATGCTGCCATTACTGTTAATATTTGGATGATAGATTCTTGTTGTAAATGCAACCTTAGGTGGTTTGAAGGGATAATCTGTTGGGAAGTGAATTGTCAAGAAAAATACTCCACCTTGATAGGGACTGTCGTTTGGTCCCATTATTGTAGCTTGCCAATGTCTTGCCTGTCATCACCGACAGGCCCTGCTGAACACTGTGCTGGAGGATCACGTGCCAGATCATTCAACTCCTTGTGGATTCTCTTCAGCGCCATTGTGTGCGCGGTGCGAGGCCCCTGCCAGCCGCCAGGCCCCTGCCAGCTGCTTGGAAACCCCTCCTCAGGAGACCTGTGTTGGTGAACCCAACTTCCAAACCTACTTTGCCATCCTTGGTGACGAGGCCCCTCTTCTTCAGGTTCTGCACGTTGTCTTTGCGGTTGTGGTACTCCTGCAGATATGGGTCATGCAGGCTGTTGTGTTCTGTGAGGCTGCAGTCTTCTAGTTTAATGTGACCTCTTCAAATTCCCAAGACCATCGAAAAATAATTGAGAGGGGTCTCACAATGGCATCAGTCAGATCTTTGAGTACCTTTGGAAGAATCTCTTTGGTCCTCATCGACATATATGCATCCTGCTGGAAAAGCAAATTTCAACAAGGTTGGGGTTGGCCAGGAGTTTATTGTTAATGCAGTGACAGCCTTCAAACTCAGAGGCTCTGGTGATCCCAGAACCCATCACTGGTGCTGAATCAAAGTCGGCATTAAGTAGGCACTGCTTTGTCAGCAACCCTATTTGCAAGGGGGCAATCCTCATTAAGTAATAGATCAATATTATCTCTGGTCTTCCTTTTACTGATAATATATATTAAAAAGCCCTTTATAATAAAGAGAGGTAGTACTTAAAAGAAAAGATCACTTACAGACTTCAATGCCTTGAAAACAAGTTCCCAAAATGAGTTAGTAACTAGTTAACAAGTTCCATGAGTAGCCTGTAGTCTGCTTTCCCCATATTCAGGGATGAAGTTTTGGTGGCAAGGATTGTTCCTGTCACCAAAGACAGCCACTGACCACCACATAACACACGAGTCCTTCTTTTTAACAGCAACAAATCTCTAAGCATCGTTCCAGTCAGACCCCTTATACCTGTACTAATCGGTGTGGGACTCGTGGAGAACAATGGATCCTCCTCCAGCTACAAGGATTCCTAAGGAGCTTCTTGCTTCACAGGAGCAGCAGCAATATGGAACTGATGGACACTGACAGCCCAGATGGCAAAATCAAGCCCATAGATCTGGATCTTGCTCTGGAAGAATAACTGATGGAAGTGGATCCATCTCCAATGGATGACTCCCAAGAACTCTTGAGGTAGCTTCCCACACAGCTGTCCAGCAATGTGCCCCAGCAGCGGGGAGCTGCTCCTCTCCACCCTCCCCTCCCCAGCCGTGGGGACGCTGCCTCTGCCCTCCGTCCCTGGGCCATGGCTGAAGAACCAGCTTTTCACACACACACTTCTCTCCTAGGAGTCAATGCTGGTACGGGGAAATACAGTATTTCTATTTTGTTGTTCCAAGTATGTACAACACGCAGCACTGCTGTATCAGGTAAACATGTGCACAAGGGAAGATGAGGCGTGGGCTCATAGAAAGCAGTCCAATGGAAATCAAAAGGACTTTCTCTTTCAGAGTTCCCCTGTCTTTATTTGTAGAAGTTATCCAATAATTTCTTTAATTACATCGCATACTTCTGAGTCCATTCCCGAGCTATTCTGTTGTACTTTTCTCTGTTTTGTAGATCCATGCAATCTCAGGCACTAAAGGATCATCTGGATTGGGATCACACAACAGATAACAAAATGGACAAAAGTACTTTTGAAATAGTTAGTGCCGGGGACCACTGTGATCGTAGAATATCAAGACAAATGCTGCCATTACTGTTAATATTTGGATGATAGATTCTTGTTGTAAATGCAACCTTAGGTGGTTTGAAGGGATAATCTGTTGGGAAGTGAATTGTCAAGAAAAATACTCCACCTTGATAGGGACTGTCGTTTGGTCCCATTATTGTAGCTTGCCAATGTCTTGCCTGTCATCACCGACAGGCCCTGCTGAACACTGTGCTGGAGGATCACGTGCCAGATCATTCAACTCCTTGTGGATTCTCTTCAGCGCCATTGTGTGCGCGGTGCGAGGCCCCTGCCAGCTGCTTGGAAACCCCTCCTCAGGAGACCTGTGTTGGTGAACCCAACTTCCAAACCTACTTTGCCATCCTTGGTGACGAGGCCCCTCTTCTTCAGGTTCTGCACGTTGTCTTTGCGGTTGTGGTACTCCTGCAGATGTGGGTCATGCAGGCTGTTGTGTTCTGTGAGGCTGCAGTCTTCTAGTTTAATGTGACCTCTTCAAATTCCAAGACCATCGAAAAATAATTGAGAAGGGTCTCACAATGGCATCAGTCAGATCTTTGAGTACCTTTGGAAGAATCTCTTTGGTCCTCATCGACATATATGCATCCTGCTGGAAAAGCAAATTTCAACAAGGTTGGGGTTGGCCAGGAGTTTATTGTTAATGCAGTGACAGCCTTCAAAGTCAGAGGCTCTGGTGATCCCAGAACCCATCACTGGTGCTGAATCAAAGTCGGCATTAAGTAGGCACTGCTTTGTCAGCAACCCTATTTGCAAGTAGCAATCCTCATTAAGTAATAGATCAATATTATCTCTGGTCTTCCTTTTACTGATAATATATATTAAAAAGTCCTTTATAATAAAGAGAGGTAGTACTTAAAAGAAAAGATCACTTACAGACTTCAATGCCTTGAAAACAAGTTCCCAAAATGAGTTAGTAACTAGTTAACAAGTTCCATGAGTAGCCTGTAGTCTGCTTTCCCCATATTCAGGGATGAAGTTTTGGTGGCAAGGATTGTTCCTGTCACCAAAGACAGCCACTGACCACCACATAACACACGAGTCCTTCTTTTTAACAGCAACAAATATCTAAGCATCGTTCCAGTCAGACCCCTTATACCTGTACTAATCGGTGTGGGACTCGTGGAGAACAAATGGATCCTCCTCCAGCTACAAGGATTCCTAAGGAGCTTCTTGCTTCACAGGAGCAGCAGCAATATGGAACTGATGGACACTGACAGCCCAGATGGCAAAATCAAGCCCATAGATCTGGATCTTGCTCTGGAAGAATAACTGATGGAAGTGGATCCATCTCCAATGGATGACTCCCAAGAACTCTTGAGGTAGCTTCCCACACAGCTGTCCAGCAATGTGCCCCAGCAGCGGGGAGCTGCTCCTCTCCACCCTCCCCTCCCCAGCCGTGGGGACGCTGCCTCTGCCCTCCGTCCCTGGGCCATGGCTGAAGAACCAGCTTTTCACACACACACTTCTCTCCTAGGAGTCAATGCTGGTACGGGGAAATACAGTATTTCTATTTTGTTGTTCCAAGTATGTACAACACGCAGCACTGCTGTATCAGGTAAACATGTGCACAAGGGAAGATGAGCCCCTGCCAGCTGCTTGGAAACCCCTCCTCAGGAGACCTGTGTTGGTGAACCCAACTTCCAAACCATCCTTGGTGACGAGGCCCCTCTGCTTCTTTTTCAGACGTTGCTCTGAATTCACAATGCCCAGGGAGCTGTGTTTTTGTTTTTGAGGCAGCAGCAGTACGGATGCTTCTGTGGAGTTCGTAGCCTTCCCTGCCCAGCTCAGGTTTGGGCAACTTCTCAGGGAGCTTCACTGCACATCCTGTGCTCGGTGAGTCTCCCTGAAGTTTGTGCTGCATCAAAGCCACATTCCTCAGTCTGCGTTGGCCAGCCTGGAGATTATGGCATGTAGGAGAAGGCCAGCTGGTTTGTGAGGCTCCATGGGGCTGGCTTTCTTGACCACAATGTATTCCACGGGCCGGAGCTCGTCAGTGCTTGCCATTGATCTGAGGGCACATTTCTTCAAGTTGGACATCTCCTGAAGAAACATTTCCTGGAAGGGAACAGCAGGTTTAGGCTCGGCCTTGTCTCGGAAAGTGCTTGCCACGCTGCAGGCTGATGCTTTACGCCAACGAGGGCCAGCACTCTGCTTCAGCCATGCAGTGAGGGCAGAAGAGAAGAGCTGCCTCAGTGCTCTGTTTGCAAGCAAGCAGCTTTCCAGGTCACCTGCACGTCAGCACGCTGTGCTAGCTCAGCTCTGAGCTGTGTTGTCCTTTCCATGCCTCCATGCCTGCACCACCAGCCCGGCCCTCACCTTTTCTGCATTCCCCATCTCCCTCAGACCCATCAAGTCAAGCCCGTGCCCTCGGTGCCGTGCCACTGACACGTGCCCGCCAACAGCACGTTTGGCCTACCTCTTGGTGAGGGTGTTTTTAATAGTTTTGATAGTTTTTAACCACACTGGTGTACTGTTATGTCTCTAGCGCGTCCTCAGAGTCCAGAGACTTCCCCACATGCTGATACACCTGAAAGCAGCATCGAGCCCATGGAGATGCACATCCTGCTAGAGGAGGAACCCATGGATGTGCATCCACCTCCATCGAGGCAGACAGGCACCCCAACATCGTGTCTGCATGGAGACGCTGCTACATCCACCGGCAGCACACCAGGGGCTCTCGATTTCCACCCTGGCCCTGAAATGTCACTACCTGCCAGAGAGCCCTGCGCCAGCTGCTGCTCCCTGCCGCCCTTTCTTCCCCGTCCTCCATCCTCATCCTTCCCCAAGAGCTCTCATCTCTTCTTTCCCGAGCTCTGAGGAATCGGGAAGGACCGGGACTGCCGTGCCATAAGCTGCTGTGCTGATAGGAGACAAGTCCAGCGGATGGCCCTGAGCTCCTCGCAGCCTCACGTGAGCCCCGAGAAGGAGGCGGGACTGGGACTGGTGTCCCGTGAGCTGCTGCACCAGCACAGCCGGAGGAGCCCAGCGATGGCGCTGAGCTCCCTGCGGCCTCCAGCGGTGTCACAGAAGCTTCAGAGGTGGCTGTTCCTTTGGGGAAGCGGAGGACTTTGGTTAGGACGGGAAGAAGGGCTGAAGTGCAGCACGAAGGTTCATAACAGTTGTTCCGTTAGGACTTTTGTGTCAACATTGCGCCTCCGCGGCTGCACGAACCGCCGCGGCCCGACGGCAGCAGCAGCACCGCTGCGAAAGCCGCGGCCGGGGCGGGAAGCGGAGCTCAGGCTGCGGAATGGAGGGGAGGAGGCGGGGCATCTCGGAAACATCCAGAACGTGGATCTGTAGACGGAGCTGCCGGGGGCGCGCAGTTCTGCCGCTCCTTAAACGGTTCCGCGACGTGGAACCAGAAGGGGGAGCTGGCCTCTTGGTCTGCTTGTCTGCTGCCCGATGGAGGCCGAAGGAGCCGGGCAGTGCTGGTGATGGACAGCACTCCTCCCTCCTGGGAGGCTGTGAGGGTGCTTTGTCAGAGGCTTCCCTTGCTCTGGTTTGCCTGCTTTGAAAGTTATTCCAGTGACGGACTGCTCCCACAGCCTGGCTGCTGGCCTTGGCTCAGGTGCACTGGCTCTGCTGGATTCCAGTCATAGAATCATAGAATCATAGAATCACCAAGGTTGGAAAAGACCTAAAAGATCACCCAGTCCAACCGTTCACCTATTCCCAATAGCTCCTACTAAACCGTGTCCCTCAACACAACATCCAGCCTTTCCTTGAACACCCCCAGGCTCGGTGATTCCACCACCTCCCTGGGCATTTTTTTATTCTTTTTTTTTAATTATTATTATTTTTTTGTTATTTTTTTGTTTTTTTGTTATTTTTTTGTTTATGTGTGTACTTGTTTTATTCCTAATTTGAGTCATCTTGGGATACCAAATGTATTTCTACGTAAGGTGATTTGACAGAACCGTTGACCTCATTTCAAGATATCCACTGATTGATTTTCCATTCAACAGCAATATTGAATGTTAAAAGGAACATAAAACAAGCATGCACACAATTGTACAGTTTTCTCAGATGTCTATTTCCTTATTTGTGGGTAGCGCATTGAACAGTTAAATACATTTAAGTAATGTTTAAGTGACTGCGCTAGTGCAGACTCGTAACTAGACGGGTAACCAATTTAACTAGAAACCAGCTAACAAGTAACTGCCTAAATACAAATACAGCTCTTGTACTCGTTTTGGGAAAAAGCCTGCTGGTCACATTGGAAATACGTTTTAAGGCCAAATTCTTCTGATATCCCTTCTCTGCAGCAGTTTCTTCACCTTTTTAAGCTTCCAATTCCAGACCTAGACCAAGTTTATGGCCACCAGCATTGATGCTCTTTCCATCTATCAGGGCAGACAAAGTAAGCTTCACACCTGGCCTCAGGGTCTGGGTGTAACCCACTCCAACTAGACTAGAGTTGTTCACTTTAGCAGAGAGGGAGGCAGTGGAATCCAACTTGTATTTAGCTGCAATTCCAAAGCGAGTGCTGTTGCTAGCAGTCAGTGCTACTTCCAAGCTTTCTTCAGTATTCGCCCTGCAACATCCCAAGCCAGCCGTGCCATTTCCTGCTCCTGACTGAAACGTGGCGTCTTTGAAGGCTCTGCTCTTTTGGCACTCCTAAGCACTTCTGGACTGCTCTTCTGGGGAGCCCTCCTTGAGGAGCAGACAGCATGAGCCAGTGCCTTCTGCTTCCCTGTTACTTCTCTCAACACAGTCCCACTCTCCCCTTCAAGTCTCTCTGCTTCTTTTTCAGACATTGCTCTGAATTCACAATGCCCAGGGAGCTGTGCTTTTGTTTCTGAGGCAGCAGCAGTATGGATGCTTCTGTGGAGTTCATAGCCTTCCCTGCCCAGCTCAGGTTTGGGCAACTTCTCAGGGAGCTTCACTGCACGTCCTGTGCTTGGTGAGACTCCCTGAAGTTTGTGCTGCATCAAAGCCACATTCCTCAGTCTGCGTTGACCAGTCTGGGGATTATGGCATGTAGGAGCAGGGCCAGCTGGTTTGTGAGGCTTCATGGGGCTGGCTTTCTTGCCCACAGTGTATTCCACAGGACCAGGTCGGAGCTTGTCAGTGCTTGCCACTGGTCTGTGGGCAGATTTCTTCAATTTGGAGGTCTCCTGAAGAAACATTTCCTGGAAGGGAACAGCAGGTTTAGGCTCGGTCTTGTCTCGGAAAGTGCTTGCCACGCTGCAGGCTGATGCTTTACGCCAACGAGGGCCAGCACTCTGCTTCAGCCATGCAGTGAGGGCAGAAGAGAAGAGCTGCCTCAGTGCTCTGTTTGCAAGCAAGCAGCTTTCCAGGTCACCTGCACGTCAGCACGCTGTGCTAGCTCAGCTCTGAGCTGAGTTGTCCCTTCCATGCCTCCATGCCTGCACCACCAGCCCGGCCCTCACCTTTTCTGCATTCCCCATCTCCCTCAGACCCATCAAGTCAAGCCCGTGCCCTCGGTGCCGTGCCACTGACACGTGCCCGCCAACACCACGTTTGGCCTACCTCTTGGTGAGGTTGTTTTTAATAGTTTTGATAGTTTTTAACCACACTGGTGTACTGTTATGTCTCTAGCGCGTCCTCAGAGTCCAGAGACTTCCCCACATGCTGATACACCTGAAAGCAGCATCGAGCCCATGGAGATGCACATCCTGCTAGAGGAGGAACCCATGGATGTGCATCCACCTCCATCGAGGCAGACAGGCACCCCAACATCGTGTCTGCATGGAGACGCTGCTACATCCACCGGCAGCACACCAGGGGCTCTCGATTTCCACCCTGGCCCTGAAATGTCACTACCTGCCAGAGAGCCCTGCGCCAGCTGCTGCTCCCTGCCGCCCTTTCTTCCCCGTCCTCCATCCTCATCCTTCCCCAAGAGCTCTCATCTCTTCTTTCCCGAGCTCTGAGGAATCGGGAAGGACCGGGACTGCCGTGCCATAAGCTGCTGCGCTGATAGGAGACAAGTCCAGCGGATGGCCCTGAGCTCCTCGCAGCCTCACGTGAGCCCCGAGAAGGAGGCGGGACTGGGACTGGTGTCCCGTGAGCTGCTGCACCAGCACAGCCGGAGGAGCCCAGCGATGGCGCTGAGCTCCCTGCGGCCTCCAGCGGTGTCACAGAAGCTTCAGAGGTGGCTGTTCCTTTGGGGAAGCGGAGGACTTTGGTTAGGACGGGAAGAAGGGCTGAAGTGCAGCACGAAGGTTCATAACAGTTGTTCCGTTAGGACTTTTGTGTCAACATTGCGCCTCCGCGGCTGCACGAACCGCCGCGGCCCGACGGCAGCAGCAGCACCGCTGCGAAAGCCGCGGCCGGGGCGGGAAGCGGAGCTCAGGCTGCGGAATGGAGGGGAGGAGGCGGGGCATCTCGGAAACATCCAGAACGTGGATCTGTAGACGGAGCTGCCGGGGGCGCGCAGTTCTGCCGCTCCTTAAACGGTTCCGCGACGTGGAACCAGAAGGGGGAGCTGGCCTCTTGGTCTGCTTGTCTGCTGCCCGATGGAGGCCGAAGGAGCCGGGCAGTGCTGGTGATGGACAGCATTCCTCCCTCCTTCTGGGAGGCTGTGAGGGTGCTTTGTCAGAGGCCTCCCTTGCTCTGGTTTGCCTGCTTTGAAAGTTATTCCAGTGACGGACTGCTCCCACAGCCTGGCTGCTGGCCTTGGCTCAGGTGCACTGGCTGTGCTGGATTCCAGTCATAGAATCATAGAATCATAGAATCACCAAGGTTGGAAAAGACCTAAAAGATCACCCAGTCCAACCGTTCACCTATTCCCAATAGCTCCTACTAAACCGTGTCCCTCAACACAACATCCAGCCTTTCCTTGAACACCCCCAGGCTCGGTGATTCCACCACCTCCCTGGGCATTTTTTTATTCTTTTTTTTTAATTATTATTATTTTTTTGTTATTTTTTTGTTTTTTTGTTATTTTTTTGTTTATGTGTGTACTTGTTTTATTCCTAATTTGAGTCATCTTGGGATACCAAATGTATTTCTACGTAAGGTGATTTGACAGAACCGTTGACCTCATTTCAAGATATCCACTGATTGATTTTCCATTCAACAGCAATATTGAATGTTAAAAGGAACATAAAACAAGCATGCACACAATTGTACAGTTTTCTCAGATGTCTATTTCCTTATTTGTGGGTAGCGCATTGAACAGTTAAATACATTTAAGTAATGTTTAAGTGACTGCGCTAGTGCAGACTCGTAACTAGACGGGTAACCAATTTAACTAGAAACCAGCTAACAAGTAACTGCCTAAATACAAATACAGCTCTTGTACTCGTTTTGGGAAAAAGCCTGCTGGTCACATTGGAAATACGTTTTAAGGCCAAATTCTTCTGATATCCCGTCTCTGCAGCAGTTTCTTCACCTTTTTAAGCTTCCAATTCCAGGCCTAGACCAAGTTTATGGCCACCAGCATTGATGCTCTTTCCATCTATCAGGGCAGACAAAGTAAGCTTCACACCTGGCCTCAGGGTCTGGGTGTAACCCACTCCAACTAGACTAGAGTTGTTCACTTTAGCAGAGAGGGAGGCAGTGGAATCCAACTTGTATTTAGCTGCAATTCCAAAGCGAGTGCTGTTGCTAGCAGTCAGTGCTACTTCCAAGCTTTCTTCAGTATTCGCTCTGCAACATCCCAAGCCAGCCGTGCCATTTCCTGCTCCTGACTGAAACGGGGCGTCTTTGAAGGCTCTGCTCTTTTGGCACTCCTAAGCACTTCTGGACTGCTCTTCTGGGGAGCCCTCCTTGAGGAGCAGACAGCATGAGCCAGTGCCTTCTGCTTCCCTGTTACTTCTCTCAACACAGTCCCACTCTCCCCTTCAAGTCTCTCTGCTTCTTTTTCAGACGTTGCTCTGAATTCACAATGCCCAGGGAGCTGTGCTTTTGTTTCTGAGGCAGCAGCAGTATGGATGCTTCTGTGGAGTTCGTAGCCTTCCCTGCCCAGCTCAGGTTTGGGCAACTTCTCAGGGAGCTTCACTGCACGTCCTGTGCTCGGTGAGTCTCCCTGAGGTTTCTGCTGCATCAAAGCCACATTCCTCAGTCTGCGTTGGCCAGCCTGGAGATTATGGCATGTAGGAGCAGGGCCAGCTGGTTTGTGAGGCTTCATGGGGCTGGCTTTCTTGACCACAATGTATTCCACGGGCTGGAGCTCGTCAGTGCTTGCCATTGATCTGAGGGCACATTTCTTCAAGTTGGACATCTCCTGAAGAAACATTTCCTGGAAGGGAACAGCAGGTTTAGGCTCGGCCTTGTCTCGGAAAGTGCTTGCCACGCTGCAGGCTGATGCTTTATGCCAACGAGGGCCAGCACTCTGCTTCAGCCATGCAGTGAGGGCAGAAGAGAAGAGCTGCCTCAGTGCTCTGTTTGCAAGCAAGCAGCTTTCCAGGTCACCTGCACGTCAGCACCCTGTGCTAGCTCAGCTCTGAGCTGAGTTGTCCTTTCCATGCCTCCATGCCTGCACCACCAGCCCGGCCCTCACCTTTTCTGCATTCCCCATCTCCCTCAGACCCATCAAGTCAAGCCCGTGCCCTCGGTGCCGTGCCACTGACACGTGCCCGCCAACAGCACGTTTGGCCTACCTCTTGGTGAGGGTGTTTTTAATAGTTCTGATAGTTTTTAACCACACTGGTGTACTGTTATGTCTCTAGCGCGTCCTCAGAGTCCAGAGACTTCCCCACATGCTGATACACCTGAAAGCAGCATCGAGCCCATGGAGATGCACATCCTGCTAGAGGAGGAACCCATGGATGTGCATCCACCTCCATCGAGGCAGACAGGCACCCCAACATCGTGTCTGCATGGAGACGCTGCTACATCCACCGGCAGCACACCAGGGGCTCTCGATTTCCACCCTGGCCCTGAAATGTCACTACCTGCCAGAGAGCCCTGCGCCAGCTGCTGCTCCCTGCCGCCCTTTCTTCCCCGTCCTCCATCCTCATCCTTCCCCAAGAGCTCTCATCTCTTCTTTCCCGAGCTCTGAGGAATCGGGAAGGACCGGGACTGCCGTGCCATAAGCTGCTGTGCTGATAGGAGACAAGTCCAGCGGATGGCCCTGAGCTCCTCGCAGCCTCACGTGAGCCCCGAGAAGGAGGCGGGACTGGGACTGGTGTCCCGTGAGCTGCTGCACCAGCACAGCCGGAGGAGCCCAGCGATGGCGCTGAGCTCCCTGCGGCCTCCAGCGGTGTCACAGAAGCTTCAGAGGTGGCTGTTCCTTTGGGGAAGCGGAGGACTTTGGTTAGGACGGGAAGAAGGGCTGAAGTGCAGCACGAAGGTTCATAACAGTTGTTCCGTTAGGACTTTTGTGTCAACATTGCGCCTCCGCGGCTGCACGAACCGCCGCGTCCCGACGGCAGCAGCAGCACCGCTGCGAAAGCCGCGGCCGGGGCGGCAAGCGGAGCTCAGGCTGCGGAATGGAGGGGAGGAGGCGGGGCATCTCGGAAACATCCAGAACGTGGATCTGTAGACGGAGCTGCCGGGGGCGCGCAGTTCTGCCGCTCCTTAAACGGTTCCGCGACGGGGAACCAGAAGGGGGAGCTGGCCTCTTGGTCTGCTTGTCTGCTGCCCGATGGAGGCCGAAGGAGCCGGGCAGTGCTGGTGATGGACAGCACTCCTCCCTCCTGGGAGGCTGTGAGGGTGCTTTGTCAGAGGCCTCCCTTGCTCTGCTTTGCCTGCTTTGAAAGTTATTCCAGTGACGGACTGCTCCCACAGCCTGGCTGCTGGCCTTGGCTCAGGTGCACTGGCTCTGCTGGATTCCAGTCATAGAATCATAGAATCATAGAATCACCAAGGTTGGAAAAGACCTAAAAGATCATCCAGTCCAACCGTTCACCTATTCCCAATAGCTCCTACTAAACCGTGTCCCTCAACACAACATCCAGCCTTTCCTTGAACACCCCCAGGCTCGGTGATTCCACCACCTCCCTGGGCATTTTTTTATTCTTTTTTTTTAATTATTATTATTTTTTTGTTATTTTTTTGTTTTTTTGTTATTTTTTTGTTTATGTGTGTACTTGTTTTATTCCTAATTTGAGTCATCTTGGGATACCAAATGTATTTCTACGTAAGGTGATTTGACAGAACCGTTGACCTCATTTCAAGATATCCACTGATTGATTTTCCATTCAACAGCAATATTGAATGTTAAAAGGAACATAAAACAAGCATGCACACAATTGTACAGTTTTCTCAGATGTCTATTTCCTTATTTGTGGGTAGCGCATTGAACAGTTAAATACATTTAAGTAATGTTTAAGTGACTGCGCTAGTGCAGACTCGTAACTAGACGGGTAACCAATTTAACTAGAAACCAGCTAACAAGTAACTGCCTAAATACAAATACAGCTCTTGTACTCGTTTTGGGAAAAAGCCTGCTGGTCACATTGGAAATACGTTTTAAGGCCAAACTCTTCTGATATCCCGTCTCTGCAGCAGTTTCTTCACCTTTTTAAGCTTCCAATTCCAGGCCTAGACCAAGTTTATGGCCACCAGCATTGATGCTCTTTCCATCTATCAGGGCAGACAAAGTAAGCTTCACACCTGGCCTCAGGGTCTGGGTGTAACCCACTCCAACTAGACTAGAGTTGTTCACTTTAGCAGAGAGGGAGGCAGTGGAATCCAACTTGTATTTAGCTGCAATTCCAAAGCGAGTGCTGTTGCTAGCAGTCAGTGCTACTTCCAAGCTTTCTTCAGTATTCGCCCTGCAACATCCCAAGCCAGCCGTGCCATTTCCTGCTCCTGACTGAAACGGGGCGTCTTTGAAGGCTCTGCTCTTTTGGCACTCCTAAGCACTTCTGGACTGCTCTTCTGGGGAGCCCTCCTTGAGGAGCAGACAGCATGAGCCAGTGCCTTCTGCTTCCCTGTTACTTCTCTCAACACACTCTCCCCCACTCTCCCCTTCAAGTCTCTCTGCTTCTTTTTCAGACGTTGCTCTGAATTCACAATGCCCAGGGAGCTGTGCTTTTGTTTCTGAGGCAGCAGCAGTATGGATGCTTCTGTGGAGTTCGTAGCCTTCCCTGCCCAGCTCAGGTTTGGGCAACTTCTCAGGGAGCTTCACTGCACATCCTGTGCTCGGTGAGTCTCCCTGAAGTTTGTGCTGCATCAAAGCCACATTCCTCAGTCTGCGTTGGCCAGCCTGGAGATTATGGCATGTAGGAGCAGGGCCAGCTGGTTTGTGAGGCTTCATGGGGCTGGCAGATGGCGACAGTAAGGATCTCCCAAATCAAAGTATGGAGAGGGCTGGTGAAGCTGGAAGAGATGCGTTGCAGAGTGTGAATGGGGAAGGAGAGAGCAGCAAAGAGACAAAGAGGCTTCACAGCTGCTCACAGACAAGGCTGGCCTCTTGCATGCCCAGCTGGAGGAGGAGCATGCTGTGTGCATTTCCCAAACAGACACGTCTGGGTTTTTCTAAGTCCTCCAAGAAGGTGAGCAGGAGAAGGCTGCACCCTCCTCCAGGAATGACCTGGTCTCCATATTTCTGGCTGTGACAGATGGGTGCCTGGCCCTGGTACCCAACAGCAGCTTTGGGCAGGGGCCAATTCATTGACACTTCAATGATTCCCTTGGATCTGCACTGAGTCTGCAGCAGGTTTGTTTGCCAAGTGGAGCCTTTGGAAAGATGACTTAATTCGTGTGGAACTAGAAGCTAAGGCTGTGATCCTGCTCTCTCCATGAATGGAGAACAGCACTTTGAAGTAAGAAAAACCCCATTTTTATTGACCTTGCACAGAGGCAAGCAATCTTGCATCTAGTTTTAGGAGAGCAATATAACCAGCTCTGACAGCCTGACCCAATAATAATAAAAAGTCCTGTCTCCTCGTAGTGCATCCTGATAGCAAAACCGGAGTGCGAATTTATCCCATAAAAATTCATCTACCATGGCTAAAGCCCTGTAAATTGAATTCTGTATTTTGGTTGTTAAATAAAAAGGAAAAAATGAAAAAAAAAAGAAAAAAAAGAAAAAAAAGAAAAAAAAAAAGAATGACAATATAATGATAGAATTGCTCAGCTTTTGCAATCGTATCTTGTTGAAACACCACCTAGAGTAATCTGAAGGGTTTGATTAAAACATGCATTTAAATGAACTATCATTTCCCATCCCATCTCTCCCACCCAGCCCTCGGGATGTAAAACATTACACAGAGGCATTTCTCCAAACAGAGATGATGAGCCTATTGCCCCTCACAGTAAAATCTTGCCCTGCTTTGGTGCTGAGCACAACCTGTGCTGTCAGCAGGCAGTGAGATGCTGCTGTGTGCCCACAGCTCTGCCCACCTTGCTGGGCTCACTGTTGCTCCCTGCATCCACTTAGGCTTGTGCTCAAACGTGCTGTGGAGAGTCTAAGATGGGATGCTCGGAAGCATAAAATCTGAGCAAAAGGAGATAAATTCTTACTAAAGTGCTTGTAGACATCAGAGAGTGAATCCCATGATTGTGCTCTGCTGAGGTCAGCTGTATTAAACTGGAACAAAACCCACTAAGTGCACTGTCTGCCTTTGACAGCAGACGGGAGGGGGCCAAATATAATGATTCTTCCTTTGGTCCCGAAAGCCTGAACACACAGCTCGTGCACTTCCTGAGACAGAGGCTG